ATTGACCCATCCAACTGGCAAAAGGCAATGGGTACTTTCAAAGTTCTCAGTCTTAAACCCATTTTCTCCACCACCTCTGGGCTGATTACACATCGGGTGCATCCAGAGTCTAAAAGCGCCAGCATCTTCCCCTGGGCTCCAGTTGATGGCACTTTTAATTCTGGGATGGTCATGGGGCCCGATCGGGGACTCACCGAGTGGTTGTCATCTGAATCATGTTCACTTTCCCCACTGGAAGAGGAGGGTTCCTTCTCCTGGCCTGGAGGAAGGACATCAGCACCCACCACGCCTTCCAGGGCAGTTTCACGGCGTCTCCCTAGCTGCCAGCCAGGTTCCTCCCCACCATCCGGGGTCAGTTGAGGGTTGTGCCTAGCATAGCAGCTGGGCTCCCAATGCCCCTCCTCTTCTGCTTTTGGTGCCTCCTCGGACCTCCCCCTCATATGCACAAACTGGTCACGGAACTCCTGTGTGTACCCAACCCCAGGCCTCCCCTCCTGGGTTAAAGGTATCATCCTGCTTTTTGCCTTTTGATTTAGGAGGGGGTCATCAAAACGTTTCCTCAGGGCAGTCATAAACCCCTTATAATCCCTCAGCAGGGGGAAATCATCTTTACGCAAAGCTATCATCCAGGCAGCTGCTTTGCCTCCCAACTTGGCAACTTCCGATGAGAAAACTTCCCCATACTGTTGCATGTAAGCCCAAACTTGCAGTAAAAAAAACCAAACCCAGTTCTTTGGGATCTCCTCCGTAAATCACTCCCAAGTGGAGGAATCTCAGGCATTTGGTGCCTTCGGGGGTTTCCCCCCCTCCTTGGGGAAGCTCATACTGCTGTGGCTGGGGCCCCTCCCTCTTGCTCAGCTCCGGTAGCTATTCCCAGAGACATTTCAGGGCTAACCAGGTCTTCTGCTCCCCCCCTCCGCCTGCTCGGCTAATTCACTCTCCCTTTCACTAAGACTTACACAGACGCGCCATCGTTGCCAAGCATCCTGAAGAAGGTGTAAAGCATAGGTCATCATGAGATCCTCTCTTTCAGCTGCCTGCCAGTCATCCTCTGGTTTTCGGAGCTACATGGGGCTGCCCTTGAAGAGCGTTCGAAGACTTCAGTTAGTCCAGAATGCAGCTGGGCGAGCGATTGTGGGTGCACCTAGGTACACCCACGTTACACCTATCCTCCGCGAGCTGCACTGGCTGCCNTAAAGTTTATTTGGCAGCCAGGTTCAGAAACTTAGCAAAAATGGCTAACATTGCAAATTCTGAACAACCTTCATTATTGAAGCACGCAGCAAGACTCTTTGCTGGGATGACTGGGTGAATAACGCTCAGCTTCGAGCTGTTGTATTGTGGAAGTCTGGATAAAGCATAAGCCATAAAGTTCTTCCCTCCCGGGATGTACTTGAGGGTGAAATTGAACCGGTTGAAATGTTGCGCCCACTGCATTTATTTAGGAGATAGCCTTCAAGGGGTCTTCAACACCTCCAAATTTTTGTGGTCAGTCCATACTTCAAAAGGGTGTTTAGCCACCTCAAGGAAATGTTGCCAGGTCATAAAAACCCACCTGACAGCAAAAGCCTCCTTTTCCCATATAGCCCACCTTCTCTCTGTCTCTGTTAGTTTTCGAGAGGTATAAGCGCAAGGCTGCAGGTTCCCATCAGCGTTCGTTTGAAGTAACATTGCTCCCACTGCTACATCACTACATGCAGCTTGAACGATAAACGGTGCATCCATGTCTGGGTGTTTCAAAATGGGTTCAGCTGCAAAGAGTCGCTTCAGTTTTTCGAACGCGGCTTGACATTCCATAGTCCAATTCAATGGCTTCCCCGGTCTGGGCTTGGCCTCCCCTTTTGACTTTAGGAGATTTGTAATGGGTAGGGCAATGCTGGCGAATGAGGGAATAAATTGACGATAAAAATATGCAAATCCCAAAAACCTTTGTAACTGTTTGCGGGTGCGAAGGGGGCGCCCATTCATTGACAGCCTGGACTTTTGCTGGGTCCATCTCGATGCCATTGTGGGAGATGCAATAGCCAAGGTAATCAATTTTTTCCTGATGAAACTCACATTTAGAC